AAATGTGTTATCATCAGATAAGTTATGAGATGAATAGGAGTGTCTGATACACCCAGACTTTCCATACACAGGCCATAGTTGTTCATACATGGAGAAGAGTTACGGGGTCATGTCTCTTAAGAAGGGCATTGTCCTTACGGCTTAGAGATCTTGTTAGTTGGAAAATTTGGCCACTCTGATACTTAGGAAAATGTTCAAAAGATGATAAAGGGTTCTTTCTTCAATTCTTGATGTTTTAGTGAAGCTTTACTGAACTAGCATTGTGTAAATATCTCCACAGGTCCATGAGTTCACAACTTTTAAGATCTTGGCCTCTCAGTACAGAAGGGATGGATCTCATTGTCACATATAATAATTGTTTGGGTTTTTACTCTCATGATTATAAGGGCCCTGAACATCTGCTGGTTCTGGTTCTGTCCTTGTAGAGAATCATCACTACTGCTAATCCTGGGGGTGGTGATAGAGACAGGTCTTTGGCCCTGGAGATTTGCTTTCCCTTTCACAATGCATTGAGTATCCTTAGTTTGGCTGAGGTCTTAGAGTTCTGAATCTTTTCCTGGTGGCATATTTCTGCAGGATATTTAATCTGGTGGGTTCTTCCCTTGAAAAGCATTCTCCTGGGGACTTCTGTGGACCCCTGGAGCATGACCCCATAGAGGAAACAAAATACTGCAGTGTATTGGCCTATCTCCAAAGGTTAAACAGGAAATATTACATTTTAACTTTTTTTGAAAAGCAAAAGAAGATATAATTCCCCAAACTTTTTAACACTTTGTGTTTTTCATTCAATAGTCTGTAAAGAGCCGGTCCAGTCCCCTCCTTGCTTTCAAGGACAATCTGGAATTAGATCACCATCCTTAGAAGAAGTTCCATTACTGAAAACTGTATGATAGAATCGGGTTTATTGGGCCAGTTGACAGTTCCACTGGAGTAGTAAACAGTGAAGAATGTGACCAGGCATAGCCCTAGGGGTTTTGTTTCTCTGGTGGTAACTGAACATTTTTTCCTAGCATGTGACTGAAGGAAAAGCAGCTTTTGATCGCATTCTACATATTATTTGCACTGCAAGAAAGTATAGTAACAGCAAGAAGCACCAAAATAAAATTTAAGGATTCACAGAGCAATGGCACGACTACCCCGTCTGCTGTTTCAAAGTGACCAGAACACCAAAAAGATGCCATCTGTGGAATCTTATGGCTGCAGAACTATGAGTCACCCCCTCCAACTGAATAGTGACTATTCCTAACAAGATACTCTTGAAATTCGATTTGGACCTAGTTTTTCCTTAGTTAGAAGAAGAAGGAAGGAAAACCTAGAAGTTAGCTCTTTCTACTGTCAATCTAAGGGAAAGGACTACGAACTGTGTAGCAAATGCTGGTTTGTCTAAGGATGATAGGAGAGCCAGGAAACCAAGAAGTGGGCACAGGCTACAGTTCTTCTCTATTTCAACATGAACAATTCTCCTTTGATCTGTTCTATCTTTTGTTTGTTTGTTTGTTTTAAAGAACTCTTGCAAGAAAACCACTTCCCTGGAGGAAAGTACTATAACCAAGGCACTGCCTAGATCTGGGGAAATCTTAAGATAGAATATTTGGCATAACTTCTTGATAAGCAGTTCACATTCCATAGAATCGAACTCTACTATGCCAGTGTATTTCTGGTGGCCTCAATTTCCATGTGTCAGAAGGTACATATGTCTCAATGGAGAGCACATCCTTCTCAAGAGTTATATAGCTGCAGCTGGGGGAAAGAACAGAAACAGAGACAGAACAACAATTATGGCTGCAATAGGAAGAGAGCTGGATTGGAGCAGATCTGCCAAGCAGAGCTGTGGGCAGCTCTACACTAAATGCTTGCTGGACTTCTCTGGCACATTGGGCATGATCTCCACACTGGGCACCTGGCCAGGGGGCTGCAGAATGGATAGCAGTGGACAGAAGGTCATTGGAAAGGAAAAGATATTCATGTGTGGGACAGTGAAGCACAAGGTTAAATTGCTGTAACCTGGTCTGAAGCAAAGCAAAGTTGTCCATCCGTCTGTCTCTATACTAGTTCAAATTACAGAATGCAGAAAATAACAGGAAGGACCTAAAGGAGGCGGGTCACAATAGTGAATGTCAAGCTATTCAGCAGAAAGAAGACCACAGAGCATATTAAATTCATGTATCCTTGAAACCTAAAGTTGCCAACTTTGGCCAATACTAGTGGACAACTAAGAGAAGAAAGGTCAGGAGGCAAATTCCAGATCTTATAGCCATAGGACTAATGATAGATACAAGTTGCTTGCTTTTTTCCAGTCTTTTAAATCCCTGTTTAGTCATATGAAGCTTAAAAAATTTATGCTGTACTCCAGGGAGCTGTATATTCCAGCAACACATGAAGTTTGCTTCCTTTATTCTAAATAAAAATAACCATCATTCCACAATATGCTTACCAATTGAAGCACCAGTATATTAGAGCATTTTGTCTTTAAACCCTCACACCACATCTCTCCTAGTTTGGGCCAAACAGTACCAGTTAAGATATGTACTGCCTTGCTCCCTATCTGAGTGCCCCAGCTTAACTCAGGGATCCTAGACACACCTCCTGCATGATTCTTATCAGAATGGTCCTCAGGACCATCATCCATGAGCATTAGACCTATGTACCTACCTCCCACCATCAGAGCTGGCTTTCTTAGATCCAGAAACCAAAGAGGAGAATTAATTTAGAATAGGAACTCTTCTCGTTATGTCTCTAACATCAGTTCAACTTGGAATAATGTACACTAGACAGTTGTCTGTAGGAATGATGCTCTATAAGGAAAACTACGCTTGCTTGACTCTTCTTTAGAAAGAGACCTCTGTTCTGATCTCGTCTCTTGAAATTCCCCATTCAGAAGTTACTGCCTTCCACTCTTTCCCACAAGCTACTGCTCTAAGACCTGTTTCTAAACATGAGAATAGAAAGGTTCTCTTTTCAGGTTTAAGTCTGCATAGGCACTGGACAACCAAGTTGAGGACCGAGAAAGAACAGTGCAGTTGGTGAAGGAAGATTTGGCTCCTATGCAGATTTATTCTAGTCTCCAGCATTTGCCTCCTGGAGTAGAAGAGCTTGAAGCTTTCTGGGATGACATCTTCTTCTCTTTTTTAGGGCCTAGCCTGGCATCATCAGTTCCCATTGCCAAACCATTGTAGTTTGGGTGACACCTGCCCCTCTTTTGCTCAGTTAGCAGTATAGGAAAGCCAGAGGGTGCACTTGGAACCCAGGGCCTAAGAGGAGAGTCACTGATGAGCAAACCCCAGCAGCTTGTCTTTGCCTTGCACTTAGTCTATGCTCCCCCAGGACTTGCCTGCTGCTTCCCCTGTGAGCGGGGGTTATCAGTACAGTCCTCTGGGGAAGGGGATTTCAGGTAAGGGAAAGGAAGGGCTGCTGTCTTGGTGATGACTGGGCGGGAACTCCCCAAAGGATGTTGGTTGAGTAGAAGGTGGAAAGAGTCTGCCAGGCAGGGTAGGGAGGGGATCCCCTGAGTCTCCACACCAGGGGAAGGTCCTTTACCTTGATGGAGACCTGGCTGGGGAAGGAGGTCAGGCAAGGTGGAGCTATAATTCCTCCAGCACCCTGGCTCTTCGCCTGTTTTCCTCGGATGAAATTCTCTACATCATCCTCCTCAGTTTCAACCCCTCCCCTCTCCACCCCGCCCCGCCCTGTGCCCATCCCTGCTGGCCACTGGGTCCATCGCCCAGGAGCCGCCTCCCCTTTCTCCTCCCCTGCGGTTCTTTCTGTTTTTCGTTGGCATCTGGCCGGGCACAACCACCACCCTCCCCCACCTCCCTTCACTCCGCAGAGGTCCCGGTCCCCTTCCCCTCCCCCACCCGGCCCACCTCTGACGGAGGCGGAGGGAGGGAAGGAGGTTGCATTCCTTCAGTCCCTCAGCCTGCTCTCCCTCCCCTGGGGACCTGAGGCTCAGAGCTGAGGCTCTGTCCTGGTCACCTCACTAACTGCCCCAGTGGCACCCTGGCAACTGTAAGCAGCCTTTAAGAAGCCTGAGGTGCCCCCACAGCGCTGACCTACATAGCCCTGCCGGGCGGGAGGGGCTCTTCCCCAAGTCCCCTGGCCCCGGCCCCGCCTCCTTTCTCCCCCGGCTCCCTGCCTTCCTCTGCCTCTACCATTACAAACCCAAGAAGGTTTGAGTTGCAGACTGGGGCAAAGGGACTAGGTACGCCACCCCACCCCAAATTTGGGAAAATCAGTGTTCAGCCCGAGAATGCTGTAGGTTTTCCTTGTGTCTTCCTCCCCAAATACCTTGATCACTATTTTTGTTCAAACTACCCACTCCTGCCTGCCCCCCATCTTCCCCCCCCACGAGGCATACCGCCCAACTGGGGGGCACTGCCCCGTGTTGTTGTTTTGCTCCGAGGCGAAGCCCCTTCTCTGCGCACGCCCCCCTCAGCAGCCTCACCCAGGCCCCCTTCCCTGCCCACTCGCAGCTCCGCCGCGGGTGGGGGACGCGCGGGGAGCAGCAATGTTTGCACACAGCAGTTTGGGGGGTTGCTCTGGCCACCTAACCCCTACAGATATACATACACAAACACCCGACACACGCCCTGCCTGAAGCAGCGACAGCTCTCACTCCGCCCCCAACACACACTGACACAGACATACACACAGATCCTGACAAACGCAGGACCAGACAGCAACACAGACGCGCACACCCAGACGCGCACAGCACACGGACATCAACACCTCCAGACCCGGGTTGCTCACCGCAGACCCGGCCCGGGATCCAGACCCTGATGCACACGCAGACAGCTCCATGGTGTACACGGGTGCACACGCCGGCACACCCCGCGGTCCTGTCCTCAGAGCTAGAGATGCTCTGAGACAGACACTGGGTGTTCCAGCCGCTGGCGACTTTAACCCCCAGTGCCAAACAAAGCCGACAGGCTCTCCCGCCCACTCCCAGGCTGAGCCTCCGCCTCGGGTCGCCCCCTCCCCTGGTGCTCCCGCCCCCCACTCACCGTCCTGGGAGAGGTTGGCCCCAGTGGGCGCCCAGCAGCAGGCAAGGAGCAGGAGCAGGGGCACGGCGGAGGGGGCCCCCATCGCGCTTCCCGGCGGCTCCGGGCTGGGCGCTGCGAGCCTGGGTCTCCGGGGGGCTGGGGGCAGGGGGTGGGCGACGCCACTGGCCGAAAGGGCGCCCCGAGCCGCTTCCAAGCCCGGGGCCGAGGCGGGGACCGGGAGGGAGCCGGCGCTGCTGCAGTCGCGGGGATTAAATAGGGAGCTCGGAGCAAACCATTCGGATGGCGGTGGAGGGGGGTGGCGGGGGGCTGGGCTGGTCGCGGGGGGGTGGCAGGCTGCCGCATTCCCCAGTCTCCCCCGCCTTCCACACCCCCTCGCGCATCCATGGTGCTTTCGGTCCTGTCCCTCGGGAGCTCCGCAGGCACTAGCCAGGTTGTGGGGAGGAGGGAAGGAGCCCGCTCAGCGGTGGGACCCCGCGCTCACCCCTCTTTGGGGTGGGGTGGAGCGAGGGGAGTCGGGCAGGGCGGTGGGCCAGCTGGCGAGAGCGGCTACTGCAGGCCTGGGCAAGGGCGTGCCCACAGGCAGAGGTCCTCCAGCTCCCGCCTTCTAGGCAGCTGGGGATCCCCCAAAGCCTTGGGGTCCCCCTGTCAGTTATGTGTCCAGAGTAGTCAGTTACTCTTACCAACCAGAACATCCCTAGTTCCTCCAGCCCCAGCGCTCCTACTTCTCTGTCCAGCAACAATTTATGGCCGTAGGCGACCCGCCTTGAGAAGTGCCTTTCTCTGGAGACCCCAGGCTCTGGGAGCCAATCTCTCTCTCAATCCCTGGTCAAAGAAATTCTCTTCTGAAAACACGGTTTTACCGCAGATTCTCACCCAACCAAGTGGCCCACAAAGCAACTCCGTAGTTTCTTCCTTAACTCTCCTTGTTACACACCTGTACCTCCAGCCTTCTCAATATTTTTTCTTCTTTCAGTAGATCTTGTCTTTCCTTCCCAAGTTTTACTTAGCAAGATCCCAAGTGAATGTCTGATCCAAAGACCCTCTTAAGGACCAGCGCGTCTGTGACTAATGCAGCTCTTGTCCCTGAGGCCAGACACAAGATGGATGAGAGAAGCAGGGTGTTTGCACTTACTCTCAGGCTCAAGAGTCCCAACTCCCTGGTGTTTTCTGTTCTCTGAATTGAGTATCACTGGGGGCACTTTAGTACCTCTCAGAAAAGGAACTTTTTGAGTTAGTTTTGTTGAAACTTAGCTTTTTGGAATAAAACTCAAAAATTTGAAGTGCTAAAATCAAAGAATTTTAGAAAGGTGGAGTTCTTAGAAAATGCTTGATTGAACCCCTTAATTACACAGGTAGAGCTGAAACCCAGAGGAGATTAACTGATCCACCAAAGGTTATATAGAGAGTTAATGGGAGAAGTGACAAGCGTTGGCAGAGTCAGGAAACACTGGGATTGTACAGTGCCTGCCACTCCTGTGAGGCTAACATTTCTGTCCCTAAAGGATTTCAGTGCCAGTCTTCTAACGCTGCAGCTGGTCCTCTTTCTGAGCGGGTGACTCCTTCACTGTACTGATCTTTAATATTTCAGAGAATCTTTCCATCTGTAAGACCAGGTTTCTTAACTCCTTTGGTGTAATGTCCCTGTCACTTAGAAACACAAGAGCAGGAATGGAGAAAGTACTTTGTCAACACTAAAGCTGTATATAAGTGGCAAGGATGGAGACAAGGCAACAGAGAAGATTCTCTGAGGAGATCCTTCAGCATGGTCCAGATGCTGCCCTATTATTTTTCTCTCACTGTTTCTAGAGTTCATGGTTTCTGGAGAAGAGCCCTGCTTGACTCTTGAACATTTCTTGAGGATTGGGTAGTTGTTATTGTTATTATTTCTTGAAGGATAATTTTGACCATCCTTGGTTGTCTGGCTTACTTGACGTGACATATTTCAGTGACTCCAGTTCATGTTGCCTTATTGGAGTTTCTCTGACACCTTGGGGTCTTTGAGAAGTGAGGATTGAAGGGTTGGTGTAGTGGAAGGATGTGGAGATATGGATGTAAAAGATAAGTGCCTGGAATCAAGAATGAGGGCAGGGAGAGATAAAGGGAAGACTAGACTTTCTGAAAGAAGTGGGACCAGGTCAGTATGGGGTTAGCCATGCAGACAGAATGAAAGGATGAAGGTGTTTACAGAAAGAGCTTCAGTGAGAAAGGATTAGGCTAGTCTACTTAGAGTGTCTTGATGGCTAAAGAGTATTATCTTTGGAGCTTGAGGGAACATTAGAGATCAGCTAAGTGGGTTTAAGAGAGACTGTGTGTGTGTGTGTGTGTGTGTGTGTGTGCACACGCGCGTGTGCGTGCACAAGAGTGTATGTATTAGAGTAAGAATGGGTGCGATGAGGAGGGCACAGTGTGGGATTAAGTCTCAGTGTCCTCTAATTTTAATCATTTTTTCCATCTGCTGCTCCACTGTGACTCGCTTCTGCCTGTCCCTCCTTAATCCTTGTGATTGCTGGTCTGGCTCCACCTTCTGCTGTAACAACATGGGACCAGTACCAAGGGTGGGAGGGAAAGAGGGAGGCTGTTTTGGAGAGACAGTTTTAAGGCTAGCAAATGAAACTGTGGAATGCTCTTTTCCTACTGGCTCCTCTTCCATTTTCTGCATCATCAGCATTAGTTTGGCAGCATTTTAGGTCCTGGGAATAGGAAGCAGTCACTGGCTTTTAGAATTATAAAATAGAAGACTATTAAAGTTCTAAATATCTTTCAAGATTATCTAATTAATAACACTCCTTGTTGAAAGGATGAAAAAACAAAACAAAACTCAGAAATTCTGTGGCTTTCTGTGTGTATGCAGCTTGCTAGTAAAAGAGTTACCAGTGTTGGATGTGGAGGGATGAGATAGTACCCTTTATGGGTAGGAAGGATAAGGGGAATCATTCCCAGTATTATAGAGAAATGTCCAGTTTGAGGAATTTCTCACTTTTGCATATCACAGAGTGGAAAGGTCATTTCTCCTACATGGGCATAGATGTTCCCATTTGGAATAGCTCTGTACCTATAATTATTCTAATGTTCATATTACATGTGCTGCCCCTGCATCCTACAGGCCTCCTATTCACTTAAATAGAGTTATTGCAAAGACTGACCTACAAGGCTTATCTCTGTCATAAAATAGGTAAGTGTATCCATGTCAGATGCTGAGCTCTATGGTTACTCTCTACTCTGAAGTGCTATGGCATGCAGTATGCGTCTCCCAGGGCCTTGTACAAAGTCTGGAGTAGGTTGTCTGTGGGATTACAGAACTGGCAGCTACAGTGAAAATTGGGGGGAGCAGAGAAGGGGAGTAGAGAGAAGGCAGATTTGGCCTCCAGGGTGCTCCTGTCCACTCAGCAACAGCTTGGATGGCCGGGGGTGTGGAATGTGGTGCTGGCACTGGTGCTGGGCTGGACACAGCTGTGTGGGCCCCGGGCATTCCTTTCTCCATGCTGCCTCTGTTCTGTAAGGCAGGGCCTAGGGAAGGGATTCAGTCCACAGTGGGGTGAAGCTTATATATTCACCTGAGAGAAGATAGTAGCTCCTGGAGGGGAAGACCTTAGAAGATGCACCTCAGTATCCACTCAGATTTGGCCTTGTACCCTAACTCTTCTCCCCTGAATGACTTTTATCAGTAAATTCTGCACAGGTTTCCCCATTGCATTCTTCTTCAATTTTCCACCCAACTAAACTAGTACTCTTCATACTGCTTCTAACTTCTATTATCTAGTTTTAATTAACACAGTCCTTAATAATAACCTCTGTGTGCATTTTAATTCTAACCTTAATTGAATTTTAATTTCAATCCTAACCCTAATCTGTTACAGACTGTAACTACTAACCCTAATATAAACTCCAATTCTAATAATGACCAGAATGACTTCTAAAATTATGAATTTCTTGAAAGCCTATTATTATTTTTGGCTTAATTTTTTAAAATAAATAGTGGTACAAAATAGAAAACAAACAGGAGTCCAAATATCCTTGCCTAGAAACCCTACTGCCATTGCAAAACATTAAAGCAATTTCCTGATAAAGTTAAAAAATTCAAACTATAGAAAGAAACAAACTGCAGAGAAAAGCCTCCTCTTCTTCCCAGCGTAGCCATATTGCACAACCCCAGGGGGCATTGTTCTAATTGGAGTTGTATAACGCAGTAGCACTGCCTCCCACAGCTTTTCAGAAAAGCAGATAAAGTCAAGGTAAATATCTACCAAACTAAATCACCTTCTATATGTATATGACTTAGTCATGACAATCACTTGACACTTGGAATTTATAATAGCGGTAACTATTAAGGGCCAGACTCTTTTCTGAGCTGTTTACAGTTATTATGCATTTTGGTGCTGACAAGTCCACTGTGCAGTATTTGATACCCCTACTGCAGATGAGGACAGTAAGGCTTGAAGAAGCAAAATGACAGGCGTGAGAACAGGGACAGAGCAAGGGAGAACTAGGCTTCAGATTCAGACTTGACTCAGACCAAAGCCTAGGTTCTTAACCCTTGCACTTGGGCAGCGAGGCTTGTGGAGGAGGAGAGCATTGGTCTTTGTTCTGAGGGTAAGTAGAGGAGATGCTTGATGGTAGATAAGAGGATGACCTAGGAGACTGCAGATGGACTCAAACCAATATGGGATGAGACAGTGCAATGGGGAGGGACATTGATAACTAGATTACAGAGGAAAATGAGTAAAAGGTAAGAGAGTAATAGGGGAATAGAACAAATATAAGTAGAGACTGGGGAATTTTTTGTGATAAAGTCAAGCAAAAGTAAAATCAAGTAATAAATATATGTGTCACTATTCCTCCAGCTGCAGGCTGATGGATGTATTATGGAAAGGCAGCAGACACGTATAATCATCTGCAAACAAAAATGCACATTTTCAGTTGTATGGGAATGTGTAGCTTCTCCAAGGAAATATCTTCACATTCCTCACCTTGCTTTCTGGGCTCCAGCAATATCAAATTGCTCATAATGCCCCAAACACAGGATGCTGTTTCATGCCTCAGTGTCTTTGCACATACTGTTTCCTATACCTGGATCGCCCACCTCATTAAACCTCATAAAAACTGTGCTTGTGTTTATGCACCCAAAATTTGATTAGGTTTTGCCGCCTCTGTGATGCATTCTACCTAGAGGCAATCACTTCTTGTTTGGTGCTCCCACTATATTGA